TAATAAATGATAATCAGTACCTACCTATACTCTATAGGCTATAGCAGGGTTTCCCAACCGGTGTACCGCGGGACATTGGTGTGCCGCGAAATTTCACGACTATTAATAAACGTTTACGTAAAATGTCGATAACAATTGGTTAAAATAGTTTTAACGATTTTTTTATCGGGGATATTGTTCACTATTTCTTATTAAATAATTTAAAAGTCATTTAGTCGTTGTCGTCTGCTGTGAAGTACATATAATTTTCTTATTGCCGTGTTTTATTTTCTTTTCGCTCTAAGATTATCATTCGTACTACGTGTGGCGCACGATGGATCGTTTTTTAATTAAGAAACGTAAATTAAGCGAAGAATTGCCTGGTCCAAATAATGCTACTACTTTGGTATTAATAATTAATATGATGAAAGTATAGTATAAAAAAAAATATGTACCTATACATATATAAGTCAGTGACAAGTGTGCCGCGGCTAAATTAGTGATGGGCACAACCGAGTGAAAACTATCGAAGTACTCGATAGTTTAAAATATCTAATTACTCGGTTGTTTTATAAAACTATCGAACTATCGAAAAACTATCGGACTATCGAAAAACTATTGGACTATCGAACTATCAAAAAACTATCAAAAACTTATTTTGATTGTTTTTTTTTTAAACTCTAAGTAGTAAAATATATCCAACTGGTTTGGATAAATTGTATGTACTTTTATAGTGTTTTAGTTATATATCAAGTATCAACTGTCCATCTAGTACAAATCATACATAGCGGATAAAATTCTAAAATACTCAGTATTTAGTATTTACTATTTTCCAAATAAGAGTTTCCTACCAAAAACATATCCTATAATTTATTTTGATTTTCTTCTCATAATACAATTCTCATAGTTTTTAATACTTAGATTAATTAAACATATATTCTAAAAATGTAACTAAAAAAAAATTACGAAATGGAGGGGCTAAACAAAATTTCACCACCACACCATTCGCCTAAGCTTAGATTGTATTAATTAAAACTAATAAATTAAAAACTTATACAAAAAGAATTACCAAAGTTAATAAGTTATATAATTTTGTATGTTGTATGATGTAAAACATCCACGTTCCAATATTTTAGGTAGTATATTCGCCTGGAAGATGTCAAAACAATTGGGCATCCGATTAAATATTACCTGTTTTGATTAATTTTTAGGCCTACTTACCTAATGAACATTTTAAAAGTGAAAATTATCAAGAAAATTCAGTCGATAATACCGAAAAATCACTCGATTGTTTTTTTTTAACTCGATAGTCAAAACTAGTTGGTACTAGACGTGTATTACTATTTACTACCGAATGAAAACTATCGATAGTTAAAACTAGTCTGTTCCACTAACGAATGAAAACTATCGAGCAATTCATTCGATGGTTTTAAAAACAATCGATGAATAATAATATCTATTCAATTGAAAAATCACTCGGTAGTTTTTGAAACTATCGATAGACAATCGATTGTCCAAACTATTCGGTAGTGCCCATCACTAGGCTAAATATGGGTTGGGATTAGGGTGCCGCGAGGGAAAAAGGTTGGGAAACGCTGCTCTATAGTGACTAGTACTTACATATGCATTACATAACAAAACAAAACTTCATTTACTTTCAGTGTTAAAAAGAAGAAAAGTAGATAGGTATATTATAATTTATGGTATTTAAATTTTAAATAAGAGAACGCTATGCGCACATTATACCCATATGTTTTGCTCCAGGGTGGGTGCAAAGCCGCAAGGGGGTTCTAGCAGCTAGGTGTTTAGTGACCCGTGCTTTACAAAGCGTTTAAGTCCCGCGCAATATTGAATATGGTACGTCAAATTATTTTCGTTGTTTAAAATGAATACAATATTATTATTTTTTATTTTATTATTATAATAACCTACCTAATATTGTTTTTGAATCTAAGTGAATCTAAGTTCTAAGAGATTGAGTCACACCCGCATGTGTTGTTACCGTCTTCACACGTACGATATAGATATCCAAAATATTGTCTTTTAATTTTGTAATAGGTGTTTTTATTCTAACACCAAAATTGAGCGACTTCTACTCAGGCTGCGTCAACGCGTTTTGTCTATGCAGTGCGTGCGTAAGACGGATACAACTCTTGCGGGTGTGAGTGTGTGACGTCCTCTTAAGATAACAATGAAATATACGTATTAATCCAACACATACACAAAATATAGCTATTTAAAGATTCATTGACTATAACCATTTATTATAAATACCATGACTAAATAGTCATGATAAATACTATTTAGTAATTAGTTATAAATGCTATTATTGAGACGATTTTTATCTTTAATTGTCGTCGTGATCGAATTTTTACTGTTGTTATAATTTATAATTTATAATTAAGAAAAAACAGATAGTATACAACTAAATTATATCAACGGTTGATTTATTATTTGATCGATGCTTATCGATATTATTATTTTTATAAAATATTCTGAGCAAAGCAAAGAATAATGTCTTGGTTTTAAAAAGTGTGGACTAATAAACTAATTGACTTTCTTATTCAAAAGTTCATGGCCTTCGTAAGCGCGGTTAAGTATTGTCGAATACCTATTCTAAGGTTTAATTTAACTTTGGAAGGTACCTATCAATAGTCAATATAGACGTGCCGTGGGATGGTTCGTACTGTACAGACGTACAGTGTACTAACATAGGTAACCAAGACCCCAATCAGCTGATCGAGTTTCGCTTCTATATTGTTCTATGGTACTAAGGTATATTGCGCCGTCCCTTTTACTGTCCGACTGTGCGATTATTTTTTTCCCACAATAATCGAATGTTAGTATATAACATAGTATATATATTATTTAGTAATAGTTCGATTATTAATCGAACGACGAATTAACCGTATAGTCGAATAATTGTCGTATTATTTACAATCGAAACAATAAGTCAATAAGAAATATTATGAATGAATAATCCTAAAATATAATAAATTATAAATCGCCACCATTATCAGTGTAACATTGGTAGACCCGCGTAAACATGCAAGACATTATTAATATTATTCCTTATATTTAACTAAAATATCTATTTATAGTCGGCAGTAGTCAGTCGACTTCGTTAATTATTTTTCTATCGTTTTCCGTTATTCTTCAGTTGCAAAAACAAACAACAATCATTTTTATAATATTGTTTATGTCTAATTTTTGTTTTCATAATAATTTTTAACCGGTTAAAAAAACCTTGGTTATTCGATTATTGATTACAAAATATTAAAACTATAGAAAGGTAGAAAAACTTGAGAGTACTCTTGTACTTTATACATTTTCAAATTTAAGATTTAAAAAAAAAATTGTATGAATTTCTAACTCATAATAATTTGCAAATGTTCGCGATTTTAATTGTGAACATGTATTTTTAACATTTTTCAACTGTCATTGTAACAATATATATAGAATATATTAGAAGGTTTGTATTAAATTAACAAACTTTTTGACCCAACAAATAAAATTATAATGACATATTTTATAAAAAAAAAAAACTAAACAAAATTGGAATGTGAATATGTCCGTAAACAGCTCAAAACAAGTTAAAATATTTTGAACATTGTATGGTATATTATAGAATATGCTAATATACCTAAACATTTAGTGAAAAATTCATGTATATACAGTAATTTGTTTTAGAGTTACACCAAAAACCAAGATCGATTTTGTTAAAAACCGAGAATCCCGGGAAAAAAATCCCAGACTACAATATTACTCACAACCTCTTGCAATCCCTGAAATAAAATATTACGTTTTCAAAACTTCAAATATTACTTATGATTGTTGTGTGAGGTGTAGGTAGTGTACACAAATATATAAAGTATAAAAATATTTCGATTGATTGATACGTCGAAGAATACAGTTCAAAACATAGTAGGTATATAAAAATATTATAAAAAATTTAAAATATAGGTGGTAAATGGTAATATCAATAATAATAATAATAATAATAATAATAACTATAATCATAATAAAATAATTATCAAACAATAATTTATTGAATTTTGAATGTATTACAGTCACCTACTCACAGTAAAAACAAAACATATTATACAAACATTTTATACGAAATATAGGTAGTAATAATAATGATAATAATAATTATAGGTACCTATATTTTGTATAATATTTTTGTATACTACCTATGTTTTTAACTGTATTAATAATTGACGTATCGATCATTCTAAATATTTTTATAATTTTTTTAACAATATAATATAATATATTATATTATAATAGAATATAATATACGTATTTGTCATTAAATATTAATTATAGATACTAATTAACGTTCAAAATATATTTGTTGAACCATTTGCATGTGATTGTGAGTAATATTGTAGACGGGGATTTTTTTTCCTAGGATCGGGGATTTTTTTTCCGATTACCAAAACTGATTATGCATAAAAATTCCAGTTTTTCTTTAATTTTTATTTTGCTTTTCCCTATGCTTTTGAAAACTATTAGGAATTTGTACTTTTGACCCTCTTAAGTATCAACTAGATTCACTTTCCTATCATAAAAGATACTGTTAAAAAAGAAGCATTTTTACTGTCCTAAAAGGTGATGACTGACACAAAAAAAAAACAAAATCAATCAATACATTCATTTGCTCCCTTCAGAATCTAAAAAATAATAGTAGGCTTATAATATTATTATAGTGATGTAGAATTATGAACATAGTAAATACCTACCTTAAATTACTAAAAAAAACTTTCTTTATTATGTTAATAATTAAATATTTATATTTTTAGTCATACAACTGTCACAAGTTTTTTACACTATTTAAGATATCCTAGGATTTTAATTAAAAATGTATTACTAATTGTTAAGGAGATCCCATAATAATTGTATTTGTATGTGATGAAAATATCTGAAATTGAACCAATAGTATCTATCTAAATATACCTATATATTATATTATAATGATTTAATTATTTTAGTTTCCAGGGTTACTGATCATTTACGCTATGGAGTCGTTAATTCAAGCAATTAATAAACTACAAGATGTGTTTGCTGTGGTCAAAGATCATTCAATTGATTTACCTCAGATTGTTGTTGTCGGGTCCCAAAGCTCTGGTAAGAGTTCAGTTCTCGAGAGTTTGGTGGGCAAATCATTTTTGCCACGAGGAACAGGCATTGTAACTCGCGCTCCTTTAATTCTACAAATGGTAAAGTATACTAACGATGATATGAAATCCATGTTGGACCTAACCAATAATGAAAACATAACAGAATGGGCTTGTTTTTCGCATATTGAAAACACTGTGTTTCATGATTTTGATGAAGTAAGGGAAGAAATAGAGAAACGAACAGATGTTTTGGCTGGTGAAAATAAGGGAATTACCGACAAACCTATAGTGTTAAAAGTGTATACATCCTCGTACACTCTAACGTTTGTTGATTTGCCTGGAATCACTAAATTACCCGTTGGTAATCAACCAGCAGACATTGAAGAACAAATTCAACAACTGATAGTAAAACATGTCCGACAGCCAAACGCTATAATCTTAGCCGTGGTCACTGCCAATACAGATCCTGCAACCTCGGAAAGTCTGAAAATAGCCAAACAATGGGATCCTGAAGGTGCAAGGACAATTGCCGTGGTCACCAAGTTGGATATTATTGATAAAGGCACCAAGAGCGATATAGTTGATCTTCTTTGTGGCAAAATAATTCCGGTAAAACTTGGTATTATTGGTGTGGTTAATAGGTCTCAAAAAGATATTGACCAGAACAAGACATTGGACGAGACCCTAAATAATGAAACAGAGTTTTTTAGAACTAATTATCCAGAAATTTGTAAAATGCATGGAAACAAAGTGTTGGCTAATACATTACAGGATATATTAATAAAACATATTAAAATAACCATTCCAACCTTGTACAAAAACTTAGAAGATACCAAAACAAAACTTGAAAGTGAATTAAAAACATTGAAAACACCCGATTGCGAAAAAACATTTGTACTAGAATTATTAAATGACATTAACAAATCATACTGCGAAACCGTAACGGGAGACAGAAAGGATGCATCTAATGAAACGTTAATGGGTGGTGCAAAAATTGTAAATGTTATACAAGATAACTTTACTAAAAAATTCATGGCGGTGAATCCGTTGTATAATTTGAGTGATAAACAAATAGAAAATTATTTATTAAATACTTCTGGAATTAAAAAAAGTTCACTAGTGAATCACAAGGCATTGGAAATCATGGTGAGCAAACAATTGGAATATCTCATTGAACCAGCATTATCATTTGTGGACGTTGTGCGTGAAGAGATGTTCAACATTCTTGATTCAATTGACCAAAAATTGTTGAATGAACTTCAAAGATTTCCAGAACTAAATAATAATGTAAGTACGATTTTATAACTTATTTATTTATTCATAATAATTACGGGCAAGTGCCCAATATTTGTAGAGGCTTAGTATGAGTAGGTACATAACAAAAATTTAAATGAAATACATGACATTAAACAAAATAATTTGGAAGAAGAATGGCGGATCTTCATTAGCGATTCTCGTCATATTGACTATAGGCTCACTGAGAGATATATATTTTGTTTGAGTGAGGAATTATTTTATTATTTTGGTAGGATTATTTGTAGTTATTTTTCTAGTACCAAGAAAAAAAACACCAAAAAGATTATTTGCTTTAATATTTTAGATCCTAATTAAACTACTATAGCAGTTGATAGATACCCAAATAATTATAGCTAATACCAATTACTTATGAATTATTACAGTCTTAAGACTTGTCGAATGTATTCGGAATAAGTAGGTATTTAAATACTTTAAGAATACTTAATATATTTTGAAATACGTATTCGAATACTTTCTTTCAAAACTATTTGAACACAAATACATTTTACAAGTACACGTTACAAGAACTTAAATTGTATATTAAAATAATTGTATGTTTATCATGGATGTGTACTAAAAATTATTAATAAATATTTAAATGAAATAGTTAATAACTATAATCTTTAATTAGTTTAAAAATTTGAAACTTCAGATGTCACATACCTATTATATTTTAATCAGGTCAAGTTAAACTTCACATAAATAGATATATATTTTAGCTATTATGTCATGAAATCATATACATTTCTAGAACTCATAGAAGCATTATAAAATATTCTTTTAAGGGCATTGGAGCCGGTGCGGTTTTTAGTACAAAAACATGTCTTACTGGAAAAGCTCTCATGCCCTGTAGAATAGCCGGATTTTGTTCATTTTTTTTTTTTATTTAAAAAAAGATAACATTTTTCATGTCTGATCAAAGCCTGATTTTCAAAATTACAATTATCGAAGCTAAAATATGCATTTTAATAATGCACAATATTTGTTATTTTTCTACCACTATTTAAAGTAAAACAATAAAAGTAATTAAAGTAAATTTAGCATTTAATCCGACCTGAAAAATTTCTCTTCTATTAAATAAAAAAAAAAAAATTAACAAAATCTGACTATTCTACAGGGCGTGAGAGTTCCTGTGAAGTCATTTTCGTTGATATAATGCACCGTATCGACCCCACCCCCCCCGAAATAGGTATTGAGCTGAACTAAAATATAAAATATAGTATAATAGAAAATTGGAAAAACAGGCAACTACACACTTAAGAACAATTTTTAAAAGTATTTAGAATTCTGGAATAAAATACAAGGAAAAAGTATTTCAAAGATACATGTGACCATCTTGAGTACCTTTATGAATTATTTATACTAATTAAAATATAGAAAATTACATAAACAATATCCAATTGTTCCAATTATCTTTTTTTATTATTTTTTAAGTAGGATAATTTATACAATCTGTAAATTCTTTCTTTTTTTTTTATCAACAATAAGTGTATTAGCTAATTATTGTACAGGTTAGCATGAATTAGATGATCAAAATAAGCCACCTAGCGGTGACATTTTTTTTGTTGGATATTAATTAGAGATCAATTCGGTTTTATCTGCTCTCCATATTATTTAGCTTATTGTCCAGGTGGATTTCCGGGGATATTATTTAAGTTGAAATCTCCAATGAAGGAATTTGGGTGAATGACTAAGTGATGTCTATGTGTCAATCGGGATGTAAAGTTTGATTGGAGATGTAGTAAGGTGCAACCACATTATCAGAAGTGTAGTTGATTGAAATGCTTCAATTATTTTTAAGTTTAATGTTTGGTTGCTCCCAATATTTGGATTCCGGAAGACCAAATAATCTAAAATATAAATGCATATTAATTATTAGTAAATTTGTTGATACTAGTATTGTCCATTAGTCAAATTTCGGAAATAAGAACCATTCTAAATATAAAAGTAAAACCAACATTCAACAAACTTTAAAATATCACATTTCTTATCGCACTCACAGATCGGTACCTAACGGCATTTGTTACTTAATATTATTTTTTTTTTATGTATAAATTACTTAGGTTACTGCATTGTAGTTTTTATATTAGGTACGTAGTACCTGATTTCATCTGGGAAAATTTTGTTTTTAAATTAATTTAATTTATCTTTACTGAACAGCTGGACTGCCACCATTAGTGTATTCCTATTTTAGTATTTTAATTGTCTTAAGGGCAATATTGTCCTTTTGTGAAACTCTTCTTGACAATACCTCTCCAATGATATATTTATTTTTCCCTACTATCTATATATTTAAAAAAAGTGGTTAAGTGGATGTCGCTCTGCTGTACAATAGGTTACAAGTGGGTCAATGTATAACGGATTGTATTAAACTTGAATTCAATGATATAATATCATTGTATAAGAAAAACGATTCTAAGCGGAGACAGTTTGTCAGTCTGGATATTTTATATTGTTATTATTTATTATAGCCTGTAAGTTGAATTTATACTATAATATTATAATTTTTTATTCGTTTCTGTGGTGATAAACAAAGAGTTGGAAATTAAAATCTCATTTTTAACGGTTTTATTGTAATTTGTTGGTGGTTTTCCTGTGGCATTAAATAACTATTGAGAAAATAAAAACATGACCTCTCTAAAGTACCATCTTGATCCAATTTGCTAAAAGATAAGATACTATATGTTGAAATCGAAGCACTCCTTCTGGTAGACATTTTGTATACCTACAGGATAAAAAAAAAAATAAACACCATTTTAAAACCATTAGCTTCCTCTCTCCGCTCAGAATCTGAAATGAACGTATGTCTGTCTGTCCATATTACCATGGCAACCATTTATATATTATTTTGAGATTTTCGATGGAAATTTTTTTTATAATTGGTTGCCATGGGTTTTGACGCTATTATAATAATAATTATTAATTGCCGGGCAACGATGTGCACGGGATCAGCTAGTGTATATTGGCTGATTAATTGGTAGCACTTAATAAATAAAATATTATAACTGCATTCAACATTTCAAATAAATAACAATTTAAAATATATTTTATTTGGATTGATTAATATGGTTAATTTACTTTTGATTTCAGGTAAGAAGCACCCTGGACAACTTGCTGGAGATGAAGTTGAAAAATATTAAAAAGTCTATAAAGTCTCACATTAAAACACATCAGAAATTCTTAAATACAACGAACCCCAATTACCTTTTGCAATTGGTTAATTCATCAATAGAGTGCTCTTCATCTTTTATAAATAGTAAAAATACATATTATAATAACTTAAGAACTGCAAATTCAACTTTCTTCAGTTCAGAACAGACATATTCTGTAATCGATAACATAGAGAGAGAAATTGTAAGTAAAATGTACAAAGATATATTATCTAGTCTAGGTGGTTTAAATGATTATAAAAATGAAATCAATGTACAAGTGAGATTGCACAAGCAATTTACACGTTGCTACTTCGAATTCATCAGGAATACTTTAAGAGATTTTGTACCAAACCGTATTAACCATAAGTTGGTTAACTTTGTTCTGAAAAAATTTGATAAAAAATTGAAGGTAGAAGTGTTTATGCCTTTTATCGACAATCCGTCTTCTGGTGGAATGCTTGCTGAAAAAGAAGGTGTTGCAGACGAAAGAAATCAAAAAGAGGAATTGTTAATTGCTGTTAATAAAGCTTTTAAAAGTTTGAAAGAAATACAAATGCAATAAGTTACATTTTTTTTTTCAAAAAACTCATTTAATTTGTGTTCTTCAAGTAGAATTTTTTTTTTTATATATTTTAAGATAAGTAAAAAATGTTTTAATTGAAAGGTCTTTTTTATTTTATAATTTTTTTATTTTTTATTTCATTAATTCATATTATATTAAACTAATGGATAAATATTATGTATTATTATGTAATATTATTAGGTATAACCTGCCAAGTACCTATTTCTTAATAAAGGTATATTATTAAGTATACTTTTTTTTTTAAATTATCTTATTAAAGTAAAATTATGCATACCAGTTGGGATATAATATTAATATTTATGAGTTCAAAATGTTTTTATTTTATATTCTTCTAAGTTCTAATTGATTTACATGATATAGGTACTTTTAATGCATTAGAAAAAAAAATGTTATACTAAATTATGCCTTTATAGTAAATTAATACTGCTATAAAATATTCCATTATCATTTATGATGTTAATTTTATTGTATTTATATTGCATTTTAGAAAATTTGTATAACGTTTACAATTTACATTTGAAAAACAACTGAACACAATTTTGATAAAAATAACTATTATGTATTATTAATTATATTATTTTATTATTTTACAATCAGAGTTAACAAATATGTTAGGAACCTGATTCCTTAAGTCTATTATGTGTTTTTTCTCTTCAGTATTAGGTAAATAATATATTAATCAGATTCAAGTTATTTATGAGTAACTGACTTAGTGACTACTACAGTCTATCAATGAATATGTAAGTTGGAGTGGTTGGACATATTTTATGCAATTATTAATTGTGAGTATCCAGATCCTGGTGATATCTAATATGTACCTAGTGTTTTTTTTTTCTTTAATTGTAAAATATACTTTCTAGTAAGTTTTCTTTGGATATAACATTAATAATTATACAATGTCATAACCGACCTGATATAGTTCTTTAAACAGCGTGTTAATAGGCACTATTGGAACTAGATTAAATACAAAATAAAAATAAAAGTTTTAATTTGTTATTTGTATAGGTAGTAGGTACCTACCTATAATAATTTATAAGATGTATTATATTATTTTATTTTATCCAATGATGAATGTATTTACAACAATATTTAATATTCAATAGGTGTTTATTTTAGGTAGATAAAAATATACTGCTTAAGTAATTCAATAAAATTTTTAATTTTTCTTAAGAATTAAAATTAAAAAAAAGGTGGGCAAGTGGGTGTCGCTCTGCTGTACAGTAGGTTACAAGTGGGTCACTGTATAATGGATGGTATTAAATTTGAATTCAATGATATAATATCATTGTATAAGAAAAACGATTCTGAGAGGAGACGGTATGTCAGTCTAGGTATAAGACATATCTATGGTATAAAAAAAAATTGACCTAAAATAGGTACCTATAATAAATTCCAAATTAATCATATCACAATATCCATTAGATACTTATAACACGTTCTACATCAACAAAAACCGTGATACTAATTACTATCATAGATATATAATAGAACACTTTAGAAGTTTCAAGTACCCACGAATAATATTATTCAATCACAACAAAATAACTAAAATAGTTATTCTAGGTTTTTTAATATGTAATTTCGTCCAAATTTGAATTTAAAATGTCTGTAAAAAATAAGTGTGTTCATATATTTTTTAGATTTTTTGGTTACAGTATGAACTATTTACGAGAACCTTTGTGTTGAATATGCAATCCTTAGCTATAAAAACTGAACATTTTATAATTTATTAATTACGATGGTTGATAAATTTTGTCAAAATGCGATCTTTAAATGCTTATAAAAAAAAATTGTGCCTATGTATTTTTAATATTTTTCAATTGATATTGTAACAATATATCAGGAGCCTTGTATTAATTTTTCACACTTTTTGGCCCAACAGATAAAACTTTATAAATATTTATAGAAAAAAAAAACTAAAAAAATTGAAAACTGAAAATGTCCGTAAACGGCTCAAAAAGAGTCAAAATATTTTCAAAATTGTATGGTGTATAGGAAATGCTAATATAAACATTCAGTGAAATTTTCATGTATCTACAGTAATTCGTTTTTGAATTACAACAAAATAAGGAAATCGCCACATGAGAAATCGAGTGAATATCCAATGTTGTAAAAATTTGAATTTCAAACGCTCATAAAAATTTAATTTGACTTTCTTATAGAATTTTTTTTTTTGATAAATGTAGGAAATCTTATAAGGAATCTTGTATTACATTTTCATATCTTAGATTTAAAAAGAAAAATTTTTATGAATTTCTAACTCGAAATAATTTGCAAATTTTCGTGATTTTTCCATATTTTGTCATTTTTTGAACTTTAAATGCTTAAAAAAAAAAACTGTGACTAACGATTTTTAATATTTTTCATCTGTCTTTGAAACAATATAGTAGGAGCCTTGTATTAAATTTTCAAGTATTTTTACTCAACAAATAAATTTTTATTGATATTCATAAAAAAAAACTAATAAAATTGGAAACTGAAAATGTCCCTAAACAGTTCAAAATAAATCAAAATATTTTTAAAATGTTATCGTGTATAGAAAATGCAAATATAAACAACCACTGAAAATTTCATGTATCTACGGTTATTTGTTTTAAAGTTACACCAAAATCCAAAATTTTTTGGAAAACCGATTTTGCATAAAAATTCCCGTTTTTCCTTAATTTTTATTTTGTTTTTCCCGTCGCTTTTGAAAACTACTGTGAAATTTAAATTTTGACCTCCCCAATGCACCAACGATATTCACTTTCCAATCGAACAAGATACTGAAGTCGAAAATCGAAGCATTATTTCGACTACTTATCGTGTTCACAGACACAAAAAAAAAAAAATACAAAAATACAAAAAATAAAAATAAAAAAAAAAACACACATCATTGTAAAATCAATACATTCATCGTTTCACTCAGAATCTAAAAGGAAAAATCGAAATTTATTGCGTTATGGGTCATGGGATATGACCTCTATAGACGTTTGTCGGGAGTGAACTAGTTTGGAAAATGTTGAACTAACATAATATACTATATGGCCATTCGTACCCAGGATCATGAATATTACAAATCGGGTAATGCGATTATTCGTGGCGAATGAATATGAATATAAATTTGTATTAATAATCGCGTCCATAGGGAGAAAATATCATAGAAACTCATATAATATCTGCAGTGCATAACATAATACCTACGTGTTTGCTTAAGTCTTAAATTAAATAAGGAATTTAATATCTTATTACATATAGGTAATTCATATTATAATAAACAATTTTATTTATGTATGATAAACCTAAAAAAAGGTGGGTAAGTGGATGTCGCTCTGCTGTACAGTAGGTTACAAGTGGGTCACTGTATAATGGATGCTATTAAATTTGAATTCAATGATACAATATCATTGTATAAGAAAAACGATTCTGAGCGAAGACGGTATGTCAGTCTAGGTTTAATACAAATTATATACATATCTATGGTATTAAAAAAAAAATTGACCTATAATAAATTCCAAATTAATCATATCACATTATCACAATATCCATTAGGTACTTATAACACGTTATACATCAACATCAATAACAAACCCTGATACTATCATAGATATATAATAGTGAATAGTCCACTTTAGAAGTTTAAAGTAGGTACCCACGAATAATATTATATAATAACAACAAAATAACTAGGTTTTTTAATATGTAATTTCGTCCAAATTTGAACATAAAATGACTATAAAAATAAACTGTGATTGTATATTTTTTAGATTTTTCGGTAAGAGAATTAACTACTTACGTGGAATCTTGTTTTAAATTTTCAATCCTTAGCTATAAAAACTGAACATTTTATAATTTATTAATTACGATAATTAATAATTTTCGAGATTTTGAAAAATTCTGTCAAAATTCGATGTTTAAATGCTTATAAAAAAAAATTGTGTCTATGTATTTTTAATATTTTTCAACTGATATTGTAACAATATATCAGGAGCCTTGTATTAAATTTTTACACTTTTTGGCCCAACAGATAAAACTTTATTGATATTCATAGAAAAAAAAACTAAAAAAATTGAAAAATGAAAATGTCCGTAAACAGCTCAAAAAGAGTCAAAATATTTTCAAAATCGTATGGTGTATAGGAAATGCTAATATAAACATTCAGTGAAATTTTCATGTATCTATAGTTATTCGTTTATGAATAACAACAAAATAAGGAAATCGAGTGAATATCCAATGTTGTAAAAATTTGAATTTCAAACGCTCATAAAAATTTAATTTAACTGTCCGGTAGAGATTTTTTTATTGATACAGGTAGAAAAACTTATGAGTAATCTTGTATTACATTTTCAAATCTTAGATTTAAAAAGAAAAATTTTTACGAATTCTTAACTCAAAATAATTTGCTAATTTTCGTGATTTTTCCATATTTTGTCAATATTTGAACTTTAAATGCTTATAAAAAAAAACTGTGACTAACGATTTTTAATATTTTTCATCTGCCTTTGAAACAATATACTAGGAGCCTTCTATTAAATTTTCAACTTTCGCAACCAACAAATAAAATTTTATTGATATTTCTAGAAAAAAAACTAAAAAAAAATGAAAAATGAAAATGTCCCTAAACTGTTCAAAATAAATCAAAATATTTTGAAAATGTTATCGTGTATAGAAGATGCAAATATAAACAACCAGTGAAAATTTCATGTATCTACGGTCATTTGTTTTAAAGTTACACCAAAAACCAAATTCAATTTTCTGGAAAATCGATTTTGCGTAAAAATTCCCGTTTTTCCTTAATTTTTCTTTTGTTTTTCTTGGCGCTTTTGAAAAGTACTGGGAATTTTAAATTTTGACCTCCCCAATGCACCAACGATATTCACTTTCCAATCGAACAAGATACTGAAGTCGAAAATCGAAGCATTATTTCGACTACTTATCGTGTACACAGACACAAAAAAAATAAAAAAATAAATATAAAAACACACATCATTGTAAAATCA